AAACCACATTAGAAGGCCCTTTGGCTGTCCCAGAGCTTTTTCCCTCTGGACTGACTGGCCCTTTTTAATACAAGACAGCTTCAATGTGGCCTGAATAAGAAAACAGGCTCTATACTGAATGTGTCAGAGTCACAATACTTAGAATCACTGTCAGAAATTTAACATTTATCATGCGTCAGGGCAGGCATCTTTCACTGCAGCCAGTTTCCTAATTTAACTTCTCTCCCTCTGTATTGCTTCTATTAAAGTGCTCATTAATTTCTGCATTTAGAGGACTGTGCTTCCAGTACTGGGTTGAAAAATCCCTGTTCTGCTGTCAGACCTTTAATTTAAGTGAGAATAGTTATACTACAATGTAAAAAGAAATACAAGCATGAATGCATCCAAAATCATACTTAAGTAAAAGTATAAAAAATGTATTCAAAGACAAGGACTTAAACTATTAAATAAAGTAAAGCTATTTTTGCATATCTGGTCAAGGATCCGTTTTGTAGCTTCATGTGTAACAGTGCATAATACAGCACTGACTGGATAATCCGACCCTTAACAATATGACAACCTTGCTATCCGACAGGTTTTGCGGAAAAACGAACGGAACCCATAGAAAATAGCCTTAACATACCGACAGCCTTGGATTCCAATTCCGACATGACATTTTATTTCACAAATAAGAATAAAGGCATATCATCTGCTTTAACAATCAGACAGATTGGCTACGCTCAGACTGCAGGACTTAATGCTCAATTCAGATGGGGTTTTTTTTGTGAAATCCAATTTTTTTGAGAGTTTGTTCACATTTCCAATGAAATGCGACTTGTATGTGATCTGCTGTGTGAACTTCATACGACCCAAAAGTGTCTCGCATGCTCAGAAGAGGACACAATGACGTCACACGCCGGGAGCGTGCTCAGTGTTTGCGGAAGGAAACACGGATGGTGGCAGCTGCGGCGGGGATTGGCCCCGGTGGAAACAGAAGTGTGACCGCTATCCTAAACTGGCATCAGCAGCCAAGTACTGCCTTTGCGTTCCGGCTACTTTCACCCCGTCGGCGCACTCCCCCAGGGTGGAAGTGTACCCCTGACCACGCCGAATATTCATCATTAATTGGGCCTGAATATCCAGAGACCAGAAAGCGCTATTCGGACCAGCCCTACTGGTTATTATAACAACTATGAACAATAAATATTAACAACAAATTACCCTTCAAGCATCAAGCCCTCCTTGTATCTCGACCTCCGGCTTGACAATCCGACACCCTTGCTACCCGACATTAAAGAAGATTTTACATATAGTGTCGGATTATCGAGTCACGACTGTATTGTCCACATTAATAATGTGTTTTATTTGAAAAACGGAATCTAAAGTATAACAACATGATTTAGGACTTACACAATATGTCACTGGTTGTTTACAGTAATTTGACATTCTAATGTGTATTATGAGCAACAGGTCTAGCTGTTAAAACATTTTGAGGGTCACTGGAAATGACATTGTTTGGTTGCAAAGTTGTCAAAGCGCTACGAACTTTTCTTCTTCCGCTCTCTCGGAGGACCTGCTTCTCCTCTGCAGGATGGAGGATGGTTTCTACAAGGTTAAATGTTCGTTTGTCATGTCACACGTCCGATTAAAGTTTGGGTGAGACTGCGGGGGATAAATGTAATGTAAATGAATGGAAATAAATGCATCCTCAAAAGCACAGCACAGAAAAGTACAAGTTTCCGTGCGTGAGCGTGTGAATGTGGAATTTAATGTGTCAGGCCGAGCGTTGCCACAGATTGCCCCATGTTGGTGAGAGACGTCTCAAATTTGTCCAGTCATCCAATGAACATTTAATTTAATCTGGAGGAAGCAGATGTTCATGAAGAGCAAACACAGTCATCGCTCACAATTAGCTCGAGGTCTTTTTCCTCCCTTTGGTGTTTTGTTTCCATCCACTTGTTGATGCTTTGTTTGAGAGCACGCTCGACTGTGATGTACAGAGTACGAAGGTAAAATAAAATAAAATAAAATAGAGCGTTTCCAACTGTATAAAGACATCGGAGGAGCAGACTGAAAACGACGGAGGAAATGTTTAATGACACTCTTCGTATTTGGCATTTTCTTTGTTGAGCAGATTCAGCTTAGCAACTAGTCAGCTTTCATGCTTTCCTTTCATTTTATTCTCAGATCACATGTGCACCACCACCCACCCACACCCACACACACAGGGATGTGTTTGGCGTTGGCAGCGATTGGCTTGAGGAACTTCCATTTTTACATTTATCCCCAAATACTGAGCAGCTCTTTAAAGAAGTGAGAACCAGCACACTGTCCTCAGATTTGAATATTGTCATAATTTTTTTCTTATTTTGTAATAGTGTCTGATCACTAAGATAAGGAGGAAACTTGTCCAATCTACAGTCGTTCCCTTCCTGCCTCTAATCTGACTCTGAATAAACAAGCAGGCTGCATGTACAGTAGTTTTTCAGCGATGTGAATTTCTACTTTGTCCTCATTTAAAAGTGAACAGTGTGAAAACAAGATGAATTGTGAGCTCTTATGATATCATTTGTTATCTGTTTGTCCATTCATGTACCTTTGTTGTTGGGGAACTACTCCATGTTAGTGGAGCGACTGTCATGTAGCATGTTTGTGCAAAGGTTGCCTAAAGGGGTCAAGGGGTCAAGTAAATACCTTGAAAGGCTTTCTGTCTTTGTAAAGATGCACTCATCATGTCCTATTTGAAATCGATCACAGGGTTAAACTTACAAACTATGCATATTGGCCAATGAAAAGGAATTTCTGACTGTCTGTTCACTATTAAAGCTGTTATATTTGTTCCTCCTCCTTTGAGAACCTGGATGAGCTCTGCTATTTTCCATATTGTACACAACAGTAAATCTGCCAACAACCCAGCAAAGTGTTTTGTCTAGGTTCAAAAATTACAGCAAATTTCCACAACAGCAGCAGAAAGTAACAACTGACGAATCTCAGAGCAATGGAGGCCAGAAAACTGATTTTCAAACGTTTGCAGCAAGGGGGGGGGATTCTTTCAGTTTGGGATATATTTTAACCCCAAACCCTCATGCATCGCTGCTACTTAAAACCCCTGAAAGCATCACGACAGCAAACAAGGGAGGAGACGGATAGAGAAAGACGTGTAACAAATGTCTCCAGCTGGACAGGATCAAGGGGACTATCAGGGTTTGTTAAGGTCAAGGTTGGTACACTAACCCCTGGGGCACCAGTACTCCCAAAACTAAGAATATAGTTGCATGCTGACAGATCAAGCCATGAAAACATATTTTTCCTTCTATTGAGCTATATTGGCAGAACTGGCAGAGAGAAACTACTGTGTCTATGAGTCACTTATGATCATCTTAGTAAAACAGCAACAGGTTTCAGACAGCAACTAGTGGCTATATACAAAATTGCTCATTTTCCTTTTGTCACCAAGTGTTCGTGTAGTTATCATATTACTGTACAACTATTCAGGATGACTTTATCAAAGGATGTGTTTCTGCTTACAATTAAGTACTACCTCAGAAATATTTGTGTAAAAAGAAATAAAAAATCTTGATAAATGGTCATTTTTTTCCAGCCATTTCAGCACCTCGGACAGCAACCGAGCACTTCAAAAGATTCCTGCAACTAATGCCACTGGACAGTAAAACTTGCTCACTGCGCTTATGAAAGGAGACAACTGGGGCAATAACTGGGAGAGAAAATATTTTGTGGTTAATGTATTAACTAATAATTAATTCTGCCAACCTCTGATACCATATCTGCTTGCGAGTATTGCTTGTCACACTCTTTATAATATTACTACAACCACATATTTGCTGTTTTCTTGGTTTTTTTTCATGTATTGTGATGTGAGGTCACTTGTCAGTCAGTTCCAAAGGTTCTCAGTGTCATGGCGAAATATCTTGACATTTAAGATGTAAAGTAGGCTGAACATTGCTGGCGAGCACAGTGGGGCTGATAATCCTTGAGTGTAAAAACTAGTCACGTTTCGGATGAGAGAGGCGGGGATTACTCTCTCTGTCTTCTTGTGTGATTATATCTGATCAGATCTGTCACTGCTGCATCCTGTAGTTGCCCTTTTGACATTCACCATATTAGCCCTTATGAGGTCAGAGTGCCTGTGACAGGAGAGTGTGTGTGCCTCCACTGATGTTGGGATCATTAGTATCTCTTTACTCGTTTTCTGATGTTTGTGCAACACATATTGGATTTTTTTTTTCTCCATCCTCCTATTACTGACCAACACATTTCTTTCTCTCACTTCGACCTGTCTGATCTCCCTCCTCTCTTTGCTCTTTCCCCTCCCCTCCTTGTTTGCTCCTCTCCATTGAACACGTACCACATGGCCACTTTGGGACGCAGACATCAATTAGAATCCAGATTTCAGATGGGATGTCAGTCGTTAACCATCTTATTGTCGTGCGTAATTTTACAGACGACAGAATAAGGCGTATTATTCTGTTCCCAGATGCATTTTATTTCACATGGCACACCGAAATTCTTGAATGAACCAAAGATGTAACCAAAGAAGACGCGCATTGGTGGCAGCATCAATTAAGAAACAACGAGACTCTGACATGTTTAAGAGAAAACCTCCTGTCTGTGGGCAATGACCTTGTTTTAAAAGGAGACTGTTTGGACTCGCAAAGTAAGTGTGTGTGCGCGCGTGTCTACAAGACGGGGAGAGGGGCAGAAGGAGGCGGGCACGCCCAGCCGATGGTGTTGAATGACGCCCGTCTGTTGCTTCTCCGGTACATCGGTGTGTCCTGCGATTGGCGGAGGACCGTGGAAGGTACCCAGCGCTGGTGCGCCGTGGGCGGGTGGAAGGCCTGTTTATAAACCCAGATCTTCCCCCCGTGGGCGGGAACAGCAACAGTAGGGAGTGAAAGTGAAGCAAAAGGAAGAGAGTGCGAGAGACGTGGAGGAGACGAGGCTGTGGCGGCGGCTGTGGTTGACCGGGGTACGCGGAGGGGGCGAGGCGGCCGCCCCTGTATGCGTCTTCAACCGCGCATGGACGACCACCTCAGCCTCCTGCAATCACCCCCGCCGAGCGCAACCAAAACCCGGGGCGACAACCTGGTGAACCACGGATACACCGAGACAGAGGCCGACGTGATGACGGTGGTGGCGTGTGACAACATGCTGGAGGAGTCAGCGGCTCTCCCGGGCCACCACTCTCTGGACCGATACGAACCGGATCACGAATGCTGCGAGAGAGTGGTCATCAACATCTCAGGGTTACGCTTTGAGACGCAGCTCAAGACTCTGTCACAGTTTCCAGAGACGCTGCTGGGGGACCCCAAGAAGAGGATGAGGTACTTTGATCCTCTCAGGAACGAGTACTTTTTCGATCGGAACCGACCCAGCTTTGATGCCATTCTGTATTACTACCAGTCTGGCGGGCGCATCAGACGACCCGTAAATGTGCCCATTGACATTTTCTCTGAGGAGATACGCTTCTATGAGCTGGGTGAGGAGGCTATGGAGAAGTTCAGGGAGGATGAGGGCTTCATTAAGGAGGAGGAGCGGCCGTTGCCAGAGAATGAATTTCAAAGACAGGTGTGGCTGCTTTTTGAATACCCGGAGAGCTCCGGTCCCGCCCGGGGAATAGCAATAGTGTCTGTCCTGGTCATTCTCATCTCCATTGTCATCTTCTGCTTAGAGACATTGCCGGAGTTTAGGGACGATAACAGGGATCCAACCACCATCGCGCCTGGGATAAATGGCACACTCCCATATTTCATCAGCCCCTTTTCAGACCCGTTCTTTGTGGTGGAGACGTTGTGTATCATCTGGTTCTCCTTCGAGCTGCTGGTGCGCTTCTTTGCATGCCCGAGTAAAGCCACGTTCTCCAAAAACATCATGAACATCATTGACATCGTGGCCATCATCCCTTATTTCATCACCCTGGGCACTGAGCTGGCAGAGAGGCAAGGGAACGGACAGCAGGCCATGTCATTAGCAATTCTGCGCGTAATTAGGCTTGTCCGGGTGTTTCGCATCTTCAAACTCTCGCGTCACTCCAAGGGGCTTCAGATTTTAGGACAGACTTTAAAAGCCAGCATGCGCGAACTGGGCCTGCTCATCTTCTTTTTGTTCATCGGTGTCATCCTCTTCTCCAGCGCTGTTTACTTTGCCGAGGCAGACGACCCAGATTCTGGTTTCAACAGCATCCCGGACGCATTCTGGTGGGCTGTTGTCACCATGACTACAGTGGGCTACGGCGACATGCATCCCGTGACGATCGGGGGAAAGATTGTGGGGTCTCTGTGCGCAATCGCCGGTGTGCTGACTATCGCCCTGCCCGTACCCGTCATCGTCTCCAATTTCAACTACTTCTACCACCGAGAGACGGAGGGTGAGGAGCAGGCTCAGTACCTGCACGTGGGCAGCTGTCAGCCTCTGGCAGACACGGAGGAGCTGAGGAAGACGCGCTCCTCTTCCTCGCTCAGCAAGAGCGAGTACATGGTGATAGAGGAGCACGGCATCAACAGCGCATTCAAGCAGCAGCCCAACTTCCCCACCACCACTCAGAACAACTCGCAGAATTGTGTGAACATAAACAAAAAGATTTTCACCGACGTGTAGCCAGTGTTTTTTTTGTTTTTTTAAGAGTCATGACCCCGAACGCAGGAAGCGGTGATGTGTCAACACGCAGCTGGTTCTGTCGTTACGCACCAGCGTGTGGAAGCAGCGGTAGATGGAGAAAGAAAAGGAATAAACAAAGACGGAGAGGGGGGAGAAGGAAAAGAGAGAGCAAACCCTGTCTGTCCAGAGAAGCTGCTTTGTGCTCCATTCAGAGAAATCAGGATTTTTTTTCCTCTCATTTCAGTGATGATGAATTCATAATTCTGTATGGTCCCATTCGCGCTTGCATGGAGAGAAAGAGCTCCTTAAACTGTTAGGCCTACCATTCTTCTCTGAGTGAGGGGATTGACCTGTTGTGCGTCGTGCAATAGCCAGTATATTATCACAGCAGGTAGAAATAGAAACTTTATAACTGTGAAAGATGAGTGCAATTGTATGCTACTCGAAGGACTCACATTGTATTAACATGCGTTATGAGTCGTGATCCGTCAGTCATAGCCTCTGTATAATATTCAGAATCATTTAAATATGTGTGTGTGTTCAAACACATGTAATGTCTGAAAAACACAGTTCAGCATATATTATCTCAATTAGACCGTTTTGTGCTATGCCTTTATTGTGCGTTAAAGTCTAGTCCAAATGCTATTGTCCTACAATTCCTCGATATGGACTGTCCTGGTGGGCTGTTTAATGCACACATGCCGCCATGTAAACACAGGGGCCAGCCGACTGTCAGTGTCTCGTGATCGGTGCAACACACGGCTCTTTCGCGTACACAAACAGCGATCAAAGATGGAGCGTCTTTCTCTTTGGATGCCTCAAATATAGCCCGCTGTGATGCAGTCTCCATGGCGACGGTCGTTTCCTCGGTAACCCCTAGTCACCGTTGCCATGGAACCCTTGTTTCCACAGTAACCTCCCAGATGGCTTGGAAGCTATATTGAAGATTGATATCTAAATATCTTGTCCCCCAGTCTCTAATTTTTGCGTGCGTAAAATACGAGTCCAAACATGCCCAACGCCCCTATAGCAAATCAGCAAGCTCAGTCTGCGACTTTAAGATTGGCACAAAAACAAACTGGAGCAAGGAGGTCTGTTTATTAATTGCCACGATGAACTGCCCCCACTTAAAAAAACAAAAACAAACAAACCCCAGACACAACTCAGAAAGCTGCTTATCCTGGAGAGGAGAGACAGCGCGTGTGGAATTATGAATGGACTGGGAGCACATTGTCTGGCTGTCCTGAGTGCGCTACTGCGGGCGCTCAGCAGAGGCTGCTGTTCTCCCACTGACAAAATTGGTAAGTTCTGAGCACTGTCATGCCCCCTGTCTCCTTCTGAATGATCTTTTTATCCCTTTATCATGTTTTCACTGTTTGTAATTTTACACATTTTACATTAACTGTCAATTCAGGCTGGTCGGTTCAATCTGCAAAAATCTGCAAAGCTCCCCTCACAGGTTCAAGTCAAAACAGCTCCTTTCAATTATTACATCTATGTATATCACATCATATTGTAAGAAGGATGCTTTGCTTTATTTTAACAAGATAATGATGTCTGAAAAGTTGCAGACATGTGCACGTTTCACATGTTATGACCTCCATCAGTCTGAGTGTGTAGGATTTCCCATTGTGTGTAATGGGTGGGATGCTCATGCAGTGTGCTCAGGTTATATTTCACCTTCAGCTGACTTTGTCAATGAAATGAATGAAGAGCACTAACAGCATGCCCACCCAGCTTGTCTGAGTGCTGCTCCCTGGTGGCCATCATCTCGTGCTAACAGAGCAGGTGGCTCATACCTGCTTTGTGACCTCTGTATTCTTTCGCCATTGACATCCCAGAGACACAGAGGTCAAATAACAATGTGGTACCAGAGAGGAGAGCAAAAGCAGAGCTGATTCGTTGTCAGGGGTTTAATGGAGTGTTTTCTTATGCAGGTAGTATATTTGCTGTAGCAAATTATAATGCATATGTTTATATCATTTGCTTATAATAGTATTGAGTAAAAAAATAAATCAAAATGCTCTTGCTTTTTTTTTTTCTTCTTCTTTTTGCATACCACATTCCCGTGTACAAAACTGCTGCTATTCCCCCAGATATATGTCTAGATTTATGTCCAGTGTCCTCGTTGACTGTGGTTACTCTAACTGAAATGGAGAGTAGACAAGAAGAGGGGGAATCAAAAGGCAGGATGTGGTCAGTGTTCTGAATCTATTCAGCATGGCTGTGTGTGCATTTCAACATGTGCTTGTGACCATATGGGAGTAGTATATAAACTAATAATATCTACAACCATCCAGCCAGGGCTGGGTGATAATTAGGGCAGTCTCATTCAGTGACATGCCCTAAAGGCAAAGTGGGAGGTCTAACAGAATGGCCTCTTGATTATTGATTATTCCAATCCAATTTGACCCCTGACCAGTGTTTAGATTTTTACTGTGAATACCCTCATATTAGTTGTCAGTTAAATGGCCTGCTCATTTCTCAGGTCTCATAAAATCTCTGGTGAAGAGAAACATTGGTCTATTGATCAGTAAGTGAGATATATTATGGAGAATACTGGAGCTACTTGTTTATCATCTAACTAGATTGGTCAGTCTGAAAGCTATTCTCCTGGGCGCGGGCAGGATGGATTGTTGGAGACAAAAACACAGACATCCTGCACTACTGGTGCAATCATCTTTTCCATTCACATTCTGCCCTCCTCTGCTAATGTGAATCCTCACAGATCACTCGAGTTTTACATTTGTTTCTGTCACACGCTAATTACATCTCCTTAACTCCGCTGCTCTCTCTTTAAGTTTGCTGCACTGTAGATGATTGAGCTGATGCTCTTATAGAGGGTAACTTGCAATAAGCCAGCGGTTAAGTGGCACAACAGCCTCACTAACAGACAGTTTAAAAGGAACAGCATCAGTGAGTGGGGATGTGTTAACTGCCTCGTTACAGTCGGTCCTGTCACAACATTGCCTGTTCCTCTCCTCTCCTTCTGACCTGACAGTATTTGCAGGTAGATTTTTGCACGACTGGTAACGAGACACCGGGGAGAAGGAAAGCAACCTTGCTTTGTTAATAAGACCATTGAACTGTGTGATGGACACGCTTTTGTGGCTCTGACAATTTTGTTCTTTTTTCTTTCCTCCCTCCTCCTTCTCTCTATCTCAGGTGAAAGTTGTTCCATTTTTCTTCTCAGACCTCCTGGAACCCCCAATCACCCCAATTAGACTGCCTCCCGTTTGGGTAAATAGACTGCACTTTACTTGCAGAGTAAATGGCATGACCTTTAATTAAAATCCACCAATGATTCAGTTTCATTTTTGAGCTGCTCAAATTAGCCCTTAACCTGCTGTGACTCTCTTTTTCCCTTTAGGGTGGCGGTGACTCTGGTCTTCCTGTTGGGCCAGATGGGCCAAAGTCAGGAATTGAGGCAGAAATCAATTCTTCTTCTTCCCGTGCCCTCTTGCTCTCAACTGGTGCCCTCAAACCTGGACTAACAAGCGATGCCTAGCAGTCCCCCCCGTCCAGTGGACCACAAAAATGCAACAAAATACAATCGCAACAGACTCAAAAGATATTCCTCATACAGTTTTGTAGCTGCAGTTTTACAACTGCTTTTGTTCTGGAGTTACACTGTGAATGGAGCCATCACAGGGTCAAAATGATTCAGACAGCGACAGTATTCAGCTGGAACTCTGTTAAAAACTCGGACATTTTTCCACACTGCTTTCTGTATGAAATTCAAAAAAAGGACAGATCAGGAAACAGACCATATTCTTGCAAAGCACAGCTCACATTCCTGGAATTTACAAGGATTTCTTACATTCTGTGCTCATGTTTCTGGGAAGTGATGTTCATCATGGACAAAAACTGGCAAACAAGTGCAAGTCAAAAGTGGCAAAAAAAAAAAAAAAACTGAGGCCATCCGTGATTTACTGATATGAAACTGTGATACAAATCAAAGACTGTTAGCCATATGCCTTTGTAAGCTCTGTGTGCTCTATTGCTAATACGTGAAACACACATACGTACGTGTGCTGGTTTGCTGCTATTCCCTCGACGTCTACACGGAGAACAACACAAAGGCATTCACGTACACGCAAACAGACACACAAACATGCACATATATGTATACACGTGCCTGTGGATGGCTCTCTTCTATCCCACTGTTCTCTAGTGTTTCCTGGGATGGTAGAATGTTGTCAAGGGGAAGGCTGTGTATGCCGGTATTTGTTCTGTGTTATTTTGTGCTGTCTTAAACATGACCCATATAAAGAGATTATGAGGTGTACTGTCTTTATTTGAGAGGAGCTGCAGCTTGTCTACATTCAATTACCCAGAGAACGGTGCTCATTTCATGTCGGGGAGAACGTCTAGGTATAGTTTCAGGGCTTTTTCCGTGTAGATACAGTATATTGCACTTCTATGAAAGATGCTCTCTAGTTTTAATGTTAGGAGGTAACTACATAACAGCATTTGTTATGTGTAACAGCATTTGTGTGTCTGTCTCTCTCTTACTTCTATATCTTCAGTACAAGACACGTATTCAGTTTGTATATCAGCACTAGAAGATTATGATACTTTTACTACATAAAAAGACACTTGCACGCAACAGTGACATCATTTTAAACAACTTAATCTTTCAGTGTCACTCATTTCCTGAGTTAATCTCTTTATTCTTTATTAGGATCCGCAGTAGCTCCTACAAAGTGGTTGCTTGTCTTCCTGGGGTTCCAGGATAAAAAATAAAAATTACAATTTGCAAAACATTAAGAATGCATAATAGATAGCAAACATTTTATTTATAATGCAAAGCAGTAAATGGATTACAATAAAGGAAAACTGGCACAACACTGTTATTACAACATTAATATCAGGTATTCTGTGCCAATTGTGTCTCTTTATTTTCCTCTTAAAAGAGCCTATATTTTTAATGTCTCTGATATGTAAAGAAAGTGAATTCCATGCTTTTGCTGCTCTGTAAACAATAGTTCTTTTCATGAAGTTGGTATTGGGCCTGGAGACGAGCAAAGTGCTTGAGGTCACTTGGCGAGTCACGCAATTGTGACAAAACCCACTGAATAAGGGTTTTTCGGTTAAAAATCTGGACTCTCTGTCCACCAAAACTTTATGCATGAACATCAGAAGACCAGCTTGTAATTTTACCTCTACTGTTAACCAGGACAGTTTCCTGTGCATCTCATGCACATTTGTTTGAAAAGGACAGTGAAGCACAACTCTAGCTGCTCTGTCTGCAGCTCTAACCTCCCATTAATATCTATAGAAATGCTGTTGACACACAGGAAATGCCACAGCTTAGTATGTGTTTTTCAATTCAGAGCTCCGCACAGTGACTGCATTCTAGTAGCAAATCGCAGTCTCTGTCTACATCCATTTCTCACATACTCAACACACTATGCAACAGAAGCCGGATAAAGGCAGCCTTTCTGTAACATAGTGACCGGGTCAGGCCCTTTATGAGAGACTGCTGCATTTATGAACATCAATGAAACAGTCGAAAACACCAAAAATAAAAGACACTGTTCCGTCTTTTAGCAGGTCAACATTCACAAGCATCAAGGATTTATATTTAGCTTAGAAAAGAGATTCTAAAGTGTTATTCTATGAGAATATTCTCTCATGTTGCTTGCCACACATTTGGCTGCTCCCTGATCGGCACGGTTGGACCTTTGAGAGAACTGAACGGCGTCCGAGCACAGTGGAAAACTTCATATCATCTCCGTGCCGATGGGGTAAATATTAACATTCTACACGGTTAACAGCAATCATACTGTCATGCTGTGTATGAGCAAGTGTGCTTTATTGCTTCGGTAAGCTTGCCAGCTCACTAATAACTAATAGGCATCTCTCTTGGATAATGCCTGGCAACGAATATCAAAGCACCTTTTAGCAACGCATATGAGAAAAGTAGCACATATACACGGACAAGGCTCTCATATCATCTATTTGCGGCTGTTTGCTTGGCATTGTTTATCTCTGTGCCCAGCTTTACTATTAAATGTGTTTACTACTGCATTTGAGTTCACTGAGACACCTATGATGTCATCAAAGCTCATCACGAGCCACGGTACTACAGTAGGACATCTCCATAGTAACAAGGGAGGGTTGCTGCCGAGATGAAGAGAGAGGCACTTGCAGCCGTCTACAGGTTCGCCGGAGAGATCAGAGTCATCTGTTGCAGCATTAATACGTATACAACTTCTGAGCAAAGGGAGGGGTTGGCAGTGTGAGTCTGTGAACATTGTATACTGTATATGTGTGTGTGTGTGTTTGTGTCTCTGACAGAAGATCAGTGTATTGTCCAACAGCAGACTGTGTCGTATCATCAGACAACAAGTCTGAGCTGAGTTAACAAAATGCCAACACAATGAGCCAACACCAGATTGCGTGCACACCCAAATAAAATGACACTGTTCCAAAGCTGATGAAAGGACATTCCAGCATCTAACAAAGTGGAATCACTTTAAATTACTGTAAAGCTGCAATAAATAAATAAATAAGTTAATTGCTGGGCGGGTCTAAAAGTATGAACATTTAATTTGAACTTTTTAAATTTAGTAGTGTTACTCATAATAATAGTAATAATAATAATAATAACAGTAATTATTGTGATTATAAACAGTTCTCTATTACAAATCAAGCAATTATGAAGCAACATTATGTTCAGACATTGTCCTACTAGCCATCTGTCAACTGTAAATCTAACATTTACGCTCTTTTAGCTCCATTTCTGGTCTCCACAGGTAGTTCTTAAAACATTTGCCTTCTGTGGTCAAAAACTACATTTTAAGACTGTAGAACAAAAACAAAAAAAAAGGGCAGCTATAAAGTGAGTTAACACTCAGTAAGAAGCTCAGCAAAGCAGATTGTTGCAGATTTGGATGACAGTTCTCTAAAGAATCATCACTTCAAGCAACCTCTTACATGTCACCTTCACACATTGTTTCCACATTCTCATCTGATAGGTTTTTGGCAGCTGTCATAACAAGGCTGGTATTGTTTTTACCTTGTGAGTCTCTGTATTGTTTCTTGTCATGGCAAATTGCCATCCTGGAGACACCTATTGTAGCAGGAACAACAACAAGGGCAGTTTTGAGTACTTTGGCAAGTGTTTGTCTGTGCACAGATTTAATCAATACAGTGTCACATTGATGCTGAGATCAGAGTTGGATGAACTCGGACTCATGACGACTGAGAACATATACACAAAAACAATACAGACGAGTATAAAGTGTAATAATAATCTGGTATATTATTATAGATATATATATACTGTGAATGTTCAATATTTTTCATAAAATATTAGTCATAGCTGTAGAGTGTCAAGGTGAGACAATTTTCTTAAGTAAATAAAACTAATTTAACTTGACACGATTTCATAAATCGTGTCAAGACCTTTAAAAAATAAACTGACTAATGATTTTCAAAATTTTCCTGGCGTACACGAGGTGACCGAAAATAAAATTTAACTTTTCTTATTCTTCACACTTGCCACCTACAACGCACATGGCTCGTTTTGTCTTTTTGCGACTTTCACTTGTGCGGCATTTCCATGTGCATCAGCAGAGCCACGCCATTGGCAGGGCAGGGAAGAGTGGTTGCTAGGGACGATGATGCTGTTGCTAGTGCTTCCACAAAAATCAGATTATTTCTGGATGCCGATTGGCTGATCAGTACCAGTTTTCCCCCCACGGGCGCAGCAGACAAGGCAGAATTTCCAATCCAGACATACGCTCTATATGCACGAGAAAACTCTAACTATCTCTGAAATGCACATAGATATACATACACACTCTTAAAAACACGCACAAGCAACCACAAACACAGCAATGCAAAACAATATCAAATAATAGCATATTCAAACCCAGATGTTAAGACACATTAGATTTTTTTTTTCTAACCGTTGGAAGGGGTGATCTGTTGCCAGTCAGCTCAGTTTTTGCTGTCAAAACAAACAGACAGATGGTGGCGAGGGTGATAGTGTAACAGAGAGAGAGGGATGCTGCTGTGTTATACTGGATGACTCATCACTCTGTCACTGTGACCTTTATATGCTACCCTCTCAACCTCGATTGTTCCTTCCCTCCCCTTCATTTTCATTTTCTGTACACCTCTAACTGCATTTCCTGCCACATTACTCTCCTCACTACGTCCTCCCTGCTCTAACATAAACATCTCGTCTTCCTGACATATTTTCACCCATTTGCTTTCTCATTCTTTCCTCTCTCCCCTCAGTTTCATTTCTCCGGGGAGAGGTGTTGTGGATGCTGTCTCTGACACTGTGTTTCCATAAATCGCAGACGACACACAGACACAACAGACAGAATGTTGGCTGATGCTTGTGGCTGCCAGACTGTGGTTTGTATACATTAATGGTTCGTTTGACTGAACAGACAGCACTTAACTGCTGCCTGCAGTGTCAGAGGAAAACATTTCCTGGGGGAAGATGTCCTTAGTGGCCCCGCACGTTTCAAAGTCAGGCTGCCAAGCCTCACTGCAAAGGTGATCTCTGCATATAGCATGCATATTCAGCTGTACATATCGCACCAAATTGATTTTCATATATATACTGCTCTCTTAGCTAAGCCACACCTCCAGATCAGCTAGGCCATTGATTTTTCCTTGTTTTCTAAGGTTGAAAAAAACAACAGAAAGTGAAACCACATCCAGAATCAATACTGGAGTAATCTACGCTGAAGGTAAGGACATATCTCATCACGAAAGCAGTGATCATGATCAGCCCGGCTGCTTTCAACAGGCAGATAGACAACTTACAAGGTCAGTCTCTAAATATAGAAGGAACCCAGAGAGAGGTGTGGAGGGAGAGGAAGAAGTCAGGGGAGAAAAAAAAAAGGGAGAAAGGTGTGGTAAAGGGTCAAAAGAAGCTGTTGAGGCAATTAAATTCCTTTGAGGAGAACGCTTGACGCAAAGTGTTATTGTGATGCCTACGTGAGGTAATGAATTAGGAGTGGAAGGACGATTTTCATATTTTCAAAGGGTATAATGACATGTGGATCTGCCCTTCAATCACTGAGGAGTATCAGTGTGAAAGTGGCAAAGCAGTGTAACAAGGCATGATCGTGTCATTGAGAGCATGTGTGTATGCATGCTATGTGTAGTTTTGTTAACCATTAAAATTTTGTAGCATTTGATTAGAAGTAAATTAGAAGGCACTTGGAGTTAGTGTGACTCTGTTCAAATTTGTATGCAAGTAATGGCATATTGGCATGTTAATTTTATAAATACATACAATACTCAGGTTGCGTACAAAGAAACAGGTAGTCGGTATATTCTTAACTAATGGTGTTTTTCAATATGTGAAACATTTTTCTAATGGTGTAGTCATGCATATACCAATACAGTGGCTGATTGCTGCCTGTGAGTGTGTTGTAGTAAGTGATCACCTGCTGCAGCACCAGCAGAGGTCATCCAGGACAAAGCTCCTCCCCTGCAGTCTGCTGTCATAAGTTGGATCAACACCCTCTTTCTCCTTCACTGTCTCTTCCTTGCTCTCTGCCTCCCTCTCTCTCACTTACACATGTTTTGCTGCATAGGAAAGGGTGGAGATTTGAGGTGTGCAGGTCTGCTGACTCATACACTGATATTGCAAACAGCTCACAATATATCTCAACTGTTGTCTTCTGTTGGATGTGGATATTATATTATATATAATATAGTTGTTGTTTTTTTTTTCCCTCAGAGTGAATTGCAAGTAAATTAAAACAATGTTTTTATACTCCCTACAGATCTTACACATTAAAAGTGTTCATGCACTTGAAATGTTTCCCCTTGTATTACAGTTAAGACTGAATTACGGTGAATTCTGCTTGCTTTTCTTTTTTTACATAAATATGTAAAAAAACAGGGCTGCAGGGTGGCGCAGTTGGTAGCACTGTTGCCTCGCAGCAAGAAGGTTGCCGGTTCGCGTCCCGGTGGGGGCACCGGAATCTTTCTGGGTGGAGTTTGCATGTTCTCCCCGTGCAGTGTGGGTTCTCTCCGGGTTCTCCGGCTTCCTCCCACACAGTCCAAAAACATGTTGAGGTTAATTGGTGATTCCAAATTGTCCATAGGTGTGAATGTGAGTGTGCTTGGTTGTCTGTCTCTAAGTGTAGCCCTGTGATAGACTGGCGACCTGTTCAGGGTGTCCCCTAAGTCAGCTGGGATAGGCTCCAGCTCCCCCGCGACCCTAGTGAGGATTAAGCGGTGTATAGATAATGGATGGATGTAAAAAACGACTCTTTTGTGTAGAACTGAGCACAGAGCTCTTTATAGGCACTGTACATCAGTTGTATTTGGACACCCTCCCCCCACCCAAACTTAAACGTCTGCACAGACTGGTACAAGGACTTTGATTCAAAAATAGAGCCAATGTTCTGAATAGTGAAAAGGCTGTGACATAGGAATTGCAATTATCTGGGCTCAATAGTTGAAAACAGTTCTAAAGCTTCTCTATAAAGATCCATACAGTCTGCTCGGAAAAACACAAAACAGAATCAATGGACCTATTGTGTTCACATGTTGTTCACACGACCAGAAGGTAAGGGGGAACTGGAGACCTCGCTTACTGCAAAACAGACTCTAAAATGGCAGAGGGGTTTCAGGCTGTCAAGACTCAGGGTAAAATGTGCAACAGTTTAAAACAGCTAATACTGTATATATCAAATATGCAGTATATATACTAATTATGATCAGGGGTTTGCAAAGGCAGACAAGGTGACAATCCAGAGACTGTGCATATACCAGCCGTTGTCTGGAAGTTTTGTGGAAGTGGCAAAGACACAGTCACTCTTGAAGACACTGAATACTAAATCTCGACCACAGTTCCTCAGAAGTCATGTGGGAGACTCTGCAGGAATACAGAAAAAGGTTTGTTGGTCTGATGAATCCAAAATTTAGCTTATAGGCCATCAGACCAAACACTATGCTTGGTGGACACCAAACACTGCACATCATCACTAACACACCATTCCTACCATGAAGCACGGTGGTGGCAGCATCACCATGTGGAATGGTTCTCGGCAGCAGCCACTGGAGGGTTTGTGAAGGTAAACGGCAAATTGAATCCAGTAAAACATATTGAAATACTTCAGGACAACCTGATGCAGTCTGAGATCTGCGACTTGTGAGAAAATTTGTTTTCCAGCCAGTCAATGACCCAAAGCACACAGCTAAAGCTACACAGACGTGCTTTACAGACAACAAGGTGAATTTCCTGGAATGGCTGAATCAGACTCCAGGCCTCAATCCAATTTAAAGGGGAATGAATACGTTTTATAGGCACTGTACTTCATCATTCAAGTTACTAACAACTCAAAACTCAAACAGCATAGGAATTCTGTCGAGACATTTGGGGCCCCTGCTAAATTGGAGCATCTGTGCTGACTGGTGTAAGTACTGTGATTCAAAAAAATGTCGAACACAAAGCCACTTTTGAAACAGTGAACAGTGGTCAACAGTTGAAAACAATTCTAAAGCTTCTCTATGAGGGTCCATCCGTTCTGCTCAGAAAAACACTCAGTCAATGTACATATTGTGTTAACTGCAGAACATGTCAAAGGGGTTTTGAGCTGTCAGGATTCAGGGTAAAATGTGTGACAGTTTAAAACAAATGTTGCTGTTAATATACACCAAATATGAAGTAAATACAGATTGTTTATGATCACAGGTTTACAAAGTAAGAAAAGGTGATGAGAAGAAATGGCCAACCACTCCCAAGAATTTTAAACCATTTTTTAATTCTATATTTGTTCACATTTTGGTAAACTGTCAGCATTACAAGTATACTACATGACCTGTTAGCCACTTCTATTTGCTATAAACAGACAGATGTGATGATTTTCAGGCTGTAAATTACAAGAAGACTCTTTTCTTATTGTACCTAATTTCTGTGTTGAAATCTGAGTTATTGCTACAAGAAGCTCTGTAAACCATCCAGTGCCACTGTTCTACTTTTTGTTGGTTTGTAATGTTTATTCGTGGTTTGGACTCTCTCCCAACATGCGTCCTGAATGTCAAAGCGATGAACACATTTCGCGAACCAAGTAGCAGAACAACACTTGACTGTGTGAGGCGCTTTCAGATGTAAATTTGGTCTGAGACCATTCAAGAAGACAGTTAACCCCCTCAAAGAATTCCTGACTTTGACTTCCTGATCTTCTCCCTCTATGGACAAAAGAACTTTCTATAGAACAGCGGACTGCAGTTTCACAATCTAAAATTATGAAATTCCAACAGCGGGATTATCTAAAAGCAATTAACTCAGTGCACGTCACCAGGTCATCACAGCCAGTACTGAAGAGACTTTTTTTTCTTCATGTTGAACATATAGGTTTGTATTACACTTATATTAGGAGTTTGCTACTGCGTATAACAATTACATTATTTATCGTTATCACAGGAGCTCTACAAGATCTACATCATATGTTTGATCTCAAGTAAGGATTTCAGATCAGTGATAGCCATTCAACAAACAGATTTATATGTTGAAGAAATGCATTAATTAAGTCAGGACTAAAAGTATTTGGTCTCTGACATCTCACAAACAGTGAAATTCAAGACCACCCCTGGCAGTGACCACATCCCTGATTGGTTAGATGCCAGTTTGAACTTTGCTCCAAAACTTTCTGTATAAAAGTCACTGGAAGGCAGCTGGAGCTTTATGTGACCAGGCTTTGTCCTCGTTAAGTTGTGTACTGAGTAAAATTAACTCTGTCCTCAGAAGTAAGTGGTTTTGCTCTTGGTCAGACTTTGTCAATGTAATGGTGCAAACCTTTGTTTCGTTTTTTTTCCTTTGTAAACGGAAGCTTTGATTCTTAGTATTTTTACTTCAGCACACTTTTTTGATGCAACGCTGCAAAAGTGCCATCCTGTCTCTACATTTCTGAACCAACCTCATCCAGCAGATCTCCTCCTGACGTGCCACACTGGTCCAGCAGCTACTTCAAACTCTATGCAAGTATCAGTTTGTTTCTGCTAAACAAGTAACTGCAAATAGTAATATTAACAGAGACACTCTACTGCATTTTACGTGTGTTTTGGGACATGTGCAATAACCTTTTGTTTATTCTCTTATTTATAGTAATAAATAAGTAACAGTAAACAAGTAAATACAAATAGTAATTTGTATGAATGACAATAAAGTAGTCTGAATCTGAATCTGAATCCAGAAATGAAGACCGGTTTCTCAATTCCAAAATGATTCTAAATTGATCACCACTTTTTCTAACTGCTTCCAATCACAGTTAACTATTCAGTTTGCTTACCTGCACTCATTAACTCACTTTATATTGTCATCTTATTGTGTTGTTTTGTTGTTGTTTTTTTAGCAATGGTAGTTACATGTTTTGTATATAATTATCATCATTGTTACTGGTATTGTTTGAGAACTGGAGGCCAGATTGAGATTCAGATAGACTGATTAACATATTAAGATTTGCTACATTTTCTAAATATTGGGTCCCAAATATTTCTGATAAAGTTTTTTTCAGATTACCTAATTCTTTAAAGATCCAAGTGATGCCCTAAAAGATTGCAAATTCAATCTTGAAGTGTAGTTCAGCTACATACTGTTACACGATAACAGACCTGTTCCCTGGCTGTTGCCTCCTTGTTCCCTAACTTTACATAGTGTTGCTTTGTATCTACACTTTAGATATTGTGTAATAAATCACCACAAAAAAAAGCACAAATTGGAAAGAAATATGCCCTAAGTTTTTTTCCCCCAAGATCTGGAAGGGACAGTGGGACGATATAGGCAAGATAAGTTTATTCACTGCTAACTACTTACTGCGGATTGGTGACAGGAATTAGGTCAGCCAAATAAAATCAGTTGTTTTTATATTGTTTCAGAAAAAAATTGCACTCCTGGTTTAGAGCACTGGACTATAACATGAATCACTGCCAATGTGTTCACAATGGAAATGCAAAATAGTTGAACTGAATTAAACATTACAGCGAGGACTGGACTCACCCCTTTTTTCAGTCTCAACAAACTCAGTTTCATATCCCATAGCCTAACCTAAGTGCCCTCTTCCCCTCACCAAGAGTAAAACTGCATTATAGATAATTGCTGTGAATGTGGCGGATGATGAATCATTCCACTCCCGACACCCAGCTCTGGATATTGGTTGGCCGTGCTCTCAACTGCCCGGCATTTGGAAATGGGCCCTCTTCATTTACATTCACAGATGACGAGAACTTAAGGGTTTCTGGCCATCAATCAGCCTGCTTATGTAAAAGTGTCGCTGGCTCCTCGTTGAGACCTTCAGCCAGAGTGGCCAACTGGTTATCAGCTCTCAACGGGATGAGCTACCGCTGCAGTCCCTGTGGCCTCATATCATCATCTTAATCAGTATTTCGACACTTTGATTGGAGAAGGATTGTATATTGTGCTGTAACCTGTCCTTGGACGGTACAGAAAATGGCAGAGCAAGGAGAACACACGGGGAAGGACATGTAGTATTCCCTATGTATTCCCCACAGAGTTGTGGAGTTTCTTTTTTTTTTTTTTTTTTCCTCTTATGTGCAATTCTTGCTCTCTGCCTGGAGACAGATCTAGGTTTCCACCTGGCCCACTTTCAAAGCGGTGGAGGAAAGAAGGCCAGGGAAGACTGACTGGAGGAAAACTAAAGTGCGCCAGTTAATTTGGCAGTATCGTAATTGTCGGAATGGCATGAGTTTCATCTAGTTTGTGAGTGCATTAAGAGCTTTTAGCATGAGTTCTCTGTGTGAGAGTGTGTTTTCTATGTGTGCTTAATAGGTCTGGACAGTAATTGCGGGATGGTGATGTAGTATGCAACTCTGGTGCCTGCTTCTGTATGACCTCATAGGTTGTTCACACATTTTCCTTCACACGGCTCAAATCTTCTACCTTAATGTTTGGGTATATTCTATATTTGTGCATAGAGACATCAATTGTGCCAACACATGCAACAGGGGCAGCCAAACAAGACTCAAGTGTGATAATATGAAGGAGTTTTTTGTTTTTGGTTAAAATGACTCATGGGGTCACTGAGATGGCTCAGGCATCTTGACCTGTGGTTCTGGTGTCCTTTTCAAGCAGTGGCAACAGATGTGCACAGGTTTTACAGCTGCTGGTTCCTTAATTCTGGCTTTCCCGGCTGTATTTATTGCCAGATTTACCCTTCACACTCTTGAAAACCAAAAGAACACATAGGTCTGTAATCTATTTTATATATTTTCAGTGTATCTTTTGGCCAGTGCGCTATGTGGGCACGCAAGTTGTGCCACAGCGCACGCCAAGTCATCTACAGCAGTTTAAGACAATTTATTCCTCATATAATTATCTGCCTCTCAATGTTATTCTGTCAGTATTTTCATTTATGTTGTTTTTTTTTTTTTTTTTAAACGCTCCTCCTGCGTGCTGGGCGACGCTTCCTCTTTAATGTGAAGCAGCGCGGACAGGAGTGTCGGGAAAAGGGAGGAAAGCGGAGGGATGGGGCGAGGCGCGCACGGAGCTTTTAGTATGCGCTGCAATGCCCAACTGCAGCCCACGCACCTCAACTACGGTGAATTATGGTGAAATATGAGAGGCACGGGAAGAGCCGGCAGCTCGACAACAGTTAGTCGTGATGAGATGACACAGCCGCCGGACAGATTAGACAAATAAAGCGAAGGAGGAGATACTATGAAGGCGCGGACGAACGACCTCGAGGCACCTTTTAAAAGGAGACAAACTGGATAAAACAAACAAAACTAAAAAGAAAAAAAATTGCCATACATGCGTAACAAGAAAATCGCGGTGAATTCCTGCATGCCACTTCTAATGCTGTAGTCCGACAGAATGATGCTGTGCTGCTTTGTTTTTGTGCATGGAGTCTGCTGTGGCTGCTGATGATCCACACGGGATATGAGGGCTGCAAATGGCTTGAGCATGTCTGGCACCTGCCCCTCCAAACTAAACTCGCGCTTGCCAATCAACTACAACATTGTCGTGTCATGTTTGAGCATCTCAGTGCATGAACTTGGCTGCAAATTTATAAAACATTGCTCTTCTTGTTTTTTTTCTTCTTTATTTTTAACCTTTTAAAAGAGGACTGCGTTATTCCATGGAATGGGCTGTGAACATCCGTTTGTTACTAATGCGCATCACTGGTGTCTTCATATTCCCCCCCGACAACAAAAAAAAAGGGTGGTGGTGGAATTTACGCACGGACGCGTGAGTGAATAATAAATTGACGAGATAGAGATACAAAAAAATTTATAAATAAATGAAACTGCTTTAGCTGTTTCGGGATCAAACAGGTGATTTCGCCCAACAGATGAAATCTGCTGAAGCATGGGTGCTCCCTTGTAGAAACACTGTCGGCAGCGCCTCCTGCAACCCTCGATGCGTCTCTGCAGATACCAGACTGGAGGATCACCTTGTTTTTTCCTCTTTTTTTTGGCTGTTTGTTGTTGCTGCTGGCAGCGGCATGATTGTTTTGAGGAAAGGGGGGTGGGATGCCAATTTTTGGCTGTTGTCAGCATGTTTGCTTTTCACTTTTCCTCCTACTATCGCCGCCTTCCAACCAGCTTTCAACCTGTAGAGCAGCTGCATGACAACATGTAGCTGTCTGCTGGTTTACTGAGGGTGAGGGAGGCAACTCCTGCATCCTCACACCTTGTCCCCTTCTTCCATTCCCACTGCCGCCTTGCTGCAGAGCCAGGAGCTTCGGGTGATATATGATTTGACAGAGAGGAGTTGCTTTGACCCGAGAGGTGGGCTGACTTTGGACCGGTCAATTCTGCAGAGCCACAGAGGACATGCTGTAAACGAGCCTGACAAGTGCCGGTGCAAATAGGTAGGTAGATTTGGATTTTTATTCACAACTTTTGCTTTTACAATCAAATTACACTGTGATCTGAAACAGGCTTATAGTGCAGTGGCCTGTGGAGTTTTGAAACAGTTGTTCAGTGGGCAATGTCAAACCCTAAATATAGTCGGCTGATAACCGATTAATTTGATCAGTGACTTGATGAAGTTTTTTCTCTCGGCTTTAGGAGGGAATGTTGGTCACACTGCACATACAGAAAGAGCAAATTTATCTCAGAGATTGTATGGAGCACTCAGCATATAATCAGATTTGTTGGTTGTAATTGCAGCCCGGTGAGAGTGGATACAGTATTACTGGCGAGCATATTGATCCTGCAGCGTGCTCATATGAGGGAGAACTCATAACCTAATACACATAGACACAATGGAGCCAATGTGCTCAAATGGTTCTGCCCCCCTTTGCTTGTTATTTTCATTTGCTTTGCTCTTTTCTGTTTGCTGGGAGGTCAGAAAATAACAACGCATTTCTGGGAAATCCTGACAATTTGAAAGAAGGAAGGTTTCGTGAAATGAATGGATCCGAAATACATTCTTAAACTCAGTCAGAAAGTAAAGGTTTCCTCGCTGATTGCACACCAAACATGAAGCGTGTTAATTTTGCAGCCTTCCTCTGCTGTCTGTCCTGTCCTGTAGGTTTTTGCAGCCTGTGCCTGAACCCACGAGTGTGCCAAGCCGTTATCTCCTTGTGGCCCAGCGTGGCCCCACCCTGTCTGAAAGCTGCAGGTCCCATCTTCTTCCACCATGACGGTTGCTACCAGCGACCCGGCTGATGAAGCAGCAGCACATCCAGGTCAGTCTCATGACCAGTACGACCCAGAGCCGGATCACGAGTGCTGTGAGAGGGTCGTCATCAACATTTCAGGCTTGCGCTTTGAGACGCAGCTAAAGACGCTCTCCCAGTTTCCAGAGACGCTACTGGGTGATCCAAAGAAAAGGATGAGGTATTTTGATCCTCTCCGGAATGAGTACTTTTTCGACCGGAATCGACCAAGTTTTGATGCAATTCTGTATTATTACCAATCTGGAGGGAGACTACGCCGGCCTGTTAACGTGACTCTGGACATATTTTCTGAGGAGATCCGGTTTTATGAACTCGGCGAGGAGGCTATGGAAATCTTCAGGGAAGATGAAGGTTTTATCAAGGAAGAGGAGCGGCCTCTGCCTGAGAATGAGTTTCAGAGGCAAGTGTGGCTTCTGTTTGAGTACCCAGAGAGCTCAGGACCAGCTCGCATCATTGCCATCATCTCTGTCATGGTGATTCTCATTTCTATTGTCAGCTTCTGTCTGGAGACACTGCCAGTTTTCCGAAATGAGGATACGGAGATGGTGGAACATTTTATATCCCTGTACGGGTCCAACGCCACCACTACCTATTACACCTCCACATATTTTGGAGATCCCTTCTTCATCGTAGAGACCCTCTGCATCATCTGGTTCTCCTTTGAGTTCCTGGTCAGATTCTTTGCTTGTCCAAGCAAAGCTGGATTTTTTGGCAACATCATGAACATCATTGATATTGTGGCAATCATCCCTTACTTTATCACCCTGGGCACAGAGCTTGCAGAGCGGCCAGAGGACGGCATGGGAGGGCAGCAAGCTATGTCTTTGGCTATTCTCCGGGTCATTCGTCTAGTCAGGGTGTTTCGTATCTTCAAACTGTCTCGCCACTCTAAGGGTCTCCAGATATTAGGACAGACACTGAAGGCCAGCATGCGTGAGCTCGGCCTCCTCATCTTCTTCCTGTTTATCGGCGTTATCCTCTTCTCTAGTGCAGTCTACTTCGCGGAAGCAGATGAAGCAGACTCCCAGTTCAACAGCATCCCAGAGGCCTTTTGGTGGGCAGTGGTTTCCATGACCACTGTAGGCTACGGAGATATGGTCCCAACCACTATTGGAGGAAAGATCGTGGGGTCTCTCTGTGCAATTGCTGGTGTGCTGACTATCGCCCTGCCTGTACCTGTCATTGTGTCTAACTTCAACTACTTCTATCACAGAGAGACAGAGGGTGAGGAACAGGCACAGTATCTGAACATCCCAAGTGTGCCTAAAGCCAGCTCAGCCGAAGATCTGAAGAAGAGCGGTCGAAGCGGCAGTGGATCAACTCTCAGCAAGTCTGACTATGTGGAGATCCAAGAGGCTGTGAACCACAGTACTGAGGACTTCAGACCAGAGAGCAGGAAAACAGGAAACTGCACTCTGTCCAACACCAACTATGTAAACATCACTAAGATGCGTACAGATGTATAATGTGAGCTAAAGTTCACAGGTAGCTTCTGCCAGGATCTACAGAAAGTGTAGCAGGAAGATGGAGGTGTGACTTCCAGTACTGCCCAACGTATGGTGCCCAGTATGGGAGTACCAAGCAGATGAATGAGGTTAACATGGAGAAAGAGTCAATAGAGAGCGACCCATGTTCTACATCATATGGACCAATCAGCGCATATCAGAAAACTGCCACCCATCTTATTTAGGACATTGTTAGTGTCTGCATGGCGTTAGTCTTACCTATGTGACAGTAGTTATCCTGCTTGCAACAGTAGCCAAATAGTAGCCTAACCTGTATTAATGAATACTAACAACATAAAGGGACCACGAGTATCAACTTTATTGCTCAAACTGCTGTAGAGAAGATGAACTAAACAATAATTTACATCAGACACCCTTTCTTCTTTTTACAAGTAAATTAACTTGTGTTTAACACAAGCCATACTATCAGCATTCAAGAACAACTTTGATCTGCTGCTCTAACTGCCAAGGTCCTGACTCAGAGGAAGACGCAATTACTGAAATCACAGCTGTTGTATCAGGGCAACACTGAATCAAGCAACAGGGAGAAAGAGCGCAAGAGAGTGATACTAATATCTTCGTGGCCAAATGGTCATTTTGTTTGTGCTTTTTCTATCAAAGAAAGTGCACTGGCATCCATCCCTTGGCTCTCACTAGACCTCGTCTAAAAGCTAGTGGCATCTGTAGGGACCAACAGAAGACTGTGCTGTAATTGTGGACCACAGTAGCACACCAAGTTCTTTTCCTGCCATTTCTTCCTAATGAAGCTCAAGTGGATTTACAGTATGTATGTCACATGTAGACACTTGCCAAGACTCTGCCTTTTCTTTGTCTCAAACCAATGCAGACAGACAGGTGAATAACAAAAGTGTTTCTAAAAAATAGAGTATCGTTTGTTTCTGATGTATTCATTTGATTTGTTATTACAGATTTGTTTGTAATATGGTTATCATATGATTAATGTGGGTTTCTCACCTATATTTTTTATAGTTTTAACACCTAATGTAGAAAGTTAGAGAATATTTTTGTTGTAGTGTTTGGAGTGAGTGCCTATTTCTTCATGCTCTTAACTGTACCTTTAAGAGTGTCTTTAGCTACCGCCGACACAGACGTACAGTGTGAAGTGCTCAGTTTGACTCCACTGCCCAGCAAGAAATGTTGCTGTTCTTGACTTCATAGCATTCCATGTTTGTAGGAGTAGATAAAATGAGATTAAGGGGCAAATGGATTACATTTTAGTGAGTTTTTCAGAAGTTTGTTTCAAAACAGTTTAGGAATTAAGGCAGCAAAGTTAACTAGCCTGATGTGGAATTCAATAAGGCTTTCAATTGTATTACCCTAAATCGTACATTTTCAAATAAAGAGCTCAAATATTAAATAAAGTTAATCTATGAGACCTTTAAGGTTCATCTATTGTCATACCAGCAATGCCAGCGTTGTAGTATTGAGCCTTACTGTTGAAGTGATAAGAAGCAAAATCAGCCTTGAAGTTTACTGTAACTTTGTTTATGGCATCTAGAAGGCCCATTAGTAATTAGCATTACTGGTAAGCATGACTAATCAGACCGAAACTACTGCCACATCATTTTAGTCTTTCATGCCTACATTCCTCTTTATTTCTCGCCTTGGCGAATACATCAGAATTAGTCAACTTTGCCTGCCTCTGCAACACACTAAAACAAACAAAAATGTGTTCCCATTTTTTTTTTTTGCTGTGTGCTGCCACCTGGCACACTGCATCCTGGGTTGTAAAAGAATATATTTGTCTTAATAGTTTTGGGTTTTTTTGTATCCATGCAATTTTCAGCAATCATTCCAGTGGTCCAACGTGACGATATAATAGAGGACCTAGCTTACATGTCCTTTTTATCAAATAAATGCTATTCTGCTTTTGTAGAGCTGCATGTCCTGTAAAGTAGTCACTGTAGCATGCATTAGTACGAATAATATTTAAACAGCAAACTGACTTAAATATATTCCTATGTCTCTAGAGGTACTAGCCCTTGCGTCGCCATCCATGTGAAGTACTTATGTGTCCACGAGGCGATTTGTTGTCTCTAGTGTTGTGTAGATTAAGGGAGTAAAAAGCAGCTTAAACATGAGAGGGAACAGGTGAAGTCTGAGAGGTGTAGAAAACACAGTGTGGTGAGGTGAGACTTTCAAATTGTACTGACTCCAGATCAGGGATTCCTAAACCTAAGATCCACAGTTAATAAATATTAACTAACATCCTTCAGCTCTACAGACGTTACAGTCTTCTGCCGTCACAACCTGAGTAACTGTGTCACATAATCAAAGCACAACAACAGCTAAAATCCGCTGCCAGTCCAATGGATGCACCAGAGATTCATAGTTGGTCAGTCAGAGTTTTTGCTCAGCCAAGTCTATCATAATGCTCCGAGGAACTGTCTGGGTGGCCAAAACTCTGATATATAGCTCCATCACGCTGTGTGCGCAGTGTCGTCTGTGCATGTGTGCGTGAGAGAGAGAGAAAGAGTGTGGGATTGTGAGAAAAACGGAGAGCTTTTAGATACACGCAGGCTGAGGGTGTAGCTTTCAGAGACAATGTCAGCAGTTTTGTAAAACACTGCTCTTTTTGCATCCAGATCAGAATGACAGTGGTGCTTAGTGAGTGTATTCTATCCCATCTGAGCACGTTTACAGCCCGTGTACTGTACAACACATGCATATAGTACATGAAACAACAAAACTGAAAGTAATGTGCTGCTGCACTCGCTAGAGATGAGATCTATGAGCATGTGTTGACTTTTGAGATAAGGTGCAGCCTTAGCCGTGCGTGGCCTCTTACAGGGAATTGAAGAGAGGAAATACATGGAAGGAGAGGAAAGGTCGGGAAGGAAAATGGGATAATGAAAGTAAGATAACACTGCCCACACCCTTGTGTGCTTTTTACTCTGATGTGTACGTGTATTTCTCTAAACTGCTCTTGTATACTGGACCACCTTTGCCACTTTAAGCTTGACCTGGACTGCTGTCTTCTCTGCTTTTGCTACGAAGCACATAATTGAAGTGACACTCTGTCAAGATTAAAAGCACTCTCTTGGAGGAGCCAACAGGACGGCACATCAGGATCTGACCAAGGAAACCACTTGATTTCTGTGCTCTACAACACAAACAAGAGGACATTTACACACACATGCACACGCCGGGCATTTGAACACATACAGCCGGTGCACATACTTGTGCACACACACTGCCTGTGAACGGGAACTTTTACTGACGTGTCAGGACAGACGTCTACCTGTGGCTTATCATTCTTCAAGGTCACAATGGACTTAAACCTGCTGCTCCTGGGTTTACACACCTGTAGCCATGTAAATGTATCAAAGACTTACAGCTGCTTTTAATGATGTCTTAAAATGCCTAAAGCTTCAGCTTTAAAACAAGCTTCTGCCATGTATAGATTCCTGTGTAGTAGGGAATCGAGATGTATGCTTGCTGAATCCATGAAACTAAAGTTGTGCAATAAGGGTATTATCTCTTAGCTTTGGTAAGCTCCAGGGACGACGAATGGAAGTGTATTAAGAAATCAACATATATATAGATATACAGATAGATAGATATATATATAACATTTCTACGACAACTTTAACTTGTGTTATCAGACACTGTAAAACTGATCTGTTCGTTTTTTTTCACTTTGTTTTTATATTTGAATGTCAGCATTTGCTCGTCTTTGAGCTTCATACAGTGCAGGGACTGAGGTTTGATTATAATACACATGCAGGCCTTGGTCAAATAGATTCTGTCATTATTGTCTTAATACATGTTTACCCCCAGACGCCCATGTCCACTTAATCTACTTTCTCTGCCTTCTTCAACTATCTGCCAGTCACATGTATGTGTGGACGAAACTTCGATAATCCTCAGCCCCTTGACTGTATTGCTGTCTCTACTTATGGTGGTCAATACTCAGCTATCCGTTAAGTGATTGTTTTCTCTGCCATTGTATGGAAAAAAAACTGAACCAAGATGCAAACTGTACATTGTTACACACAAAGGACAAATTGATCTGAATGCCTGTCATGCCCTTTACATGGATACAAACTGATCAGTAGAGGATATTGTTAAATAATTGTAAATTATAAAAGTATTATGAACAATAACAATAATAACATCTTTATGATACCCTCAAGCTACTGTTGTGTTTTTTTTTTAATGTGGATTTTTAACAAAAAATGTCTCAGAATGAGGCTTAAGATGTAATGGAAGCCCGAAACAGCTGACATTTTTCACCACTTACAATTTATATACCTGAAGAACAGAAATTATTTAAAATCAGTGACAGTTCCCAAGAGATCCAACAACTTACTGTGCACAACATTTAATTTGTCTTTGATTCTCTTAAAGCAAAAAGAATAAAGCTACGAGAGAGAAAACAAAAAGTTTAATATACAGTATAAATTGGTGAAAGCACTACTGATGCTGCTGCTCTCATGTCCATTACAGAACATACATTTGAATGGACTATCAACCCTCACCTCCTAAATGGTTTTGTGTCCTGCTATTCCCCTTAAGTGAATCTTATGCACTCTGTGGATTACTGAGAAGGCAAAGTGGCCTATTTATAAAACCAGCAAGGAGGGAAGTGAGGCAGGGAGAGTGGGGAAGAGGGAGGAGTGCAAAAGGCTCTTGACTTCTGGTTCAGCACAGAGTAGGACAAGTACAAACACTTCTTTGTATCGCTGCTATTTAGTCGAGTCTAACACTTCCCCTAGTAGCTGGTTTGTCTCTCCTCGCGTTGTTTTACCCTTCTGCTCCTATAACTGCTGCTTGAGTTATTTCTCGCTTTCCTCTTTCTATCATTCTCACATTTCATTTCCCACACATTTTCTCTCGTGTTCATCCCTCTCACTCTCGAGCAGCTCGAAGCACCAAAGTAATGCACAGCGGGTGATCTCATTCTCCTCCCAGACATATATTAGGAGGAGTATAATGCTCCCTGTGGATGTCTCAGCCGATTGGGTTCCAGTATGTCAGCTAAGGATAGCAGCCCGGCAGCCTTCCAGATAACTGATGGGTATTAATACGCTGATTGTTGTTTGAACAGCTGTGGATTTAAAAACAATTGTTTATCTCAAGTTTTCTTTAAGCCAGACGGACAGACAACCAAGTTTCAACTATACTACGCATCTGTGGTTTATCCCGTCTTAAAACACGTGTGAGGTTCTCTGCTCTTATCTTAAGTGATGCTTTCAGGTAGACCTATTTACATTTGATTCAGTGCCCACTAAAAAAAATGCAACAAAATCCATATCCTCTATTACCAATAACTTCTATTGCCTTGTTTATTCCCTATAGCCTGCTATTTTCATCAACAGAAGTGAACTTGTGTTTGTACGTTGTATGAGGCAATAAGCCAAAGTGGCAAACACCGCACATGCTGGGAACATTTACCCATTGCAGTATGAGCTGATTTATAATCTAATACTCGGCACACTTAATAGCCTGTCAACCTGAACTTTCTTTATAGCGCGCAGTTCCATAGGGGAAGCCTGTGTACATACTGTGTGCACATGTGTGTGTCTTTGGAGGAGGGAAAGCCCTTATTTCATTACTCCTGTCCCAACGGTGGAAGCCACCCCTATATTAATAGCGAAAGGTTGCCTTTTTTTATTCATAGGTCTTTCGATCATGATTCATAGTCAAACAGACAGCCGACTGTGTTTATTGTACACTTTATATTCATGGGCCGCCGAGATTGTTTGTTGGATCGAAAGACAAAGGTTAAATTAAGAAGAATTCTTTTAAAAGATTGGGGGCAAAAAAAAAAAAAATGTATCAGATGCGGGGATGATGCACGGCTGACGTGGGGAGTGAATAATAGAGGTGATCGAGTGAGAAAAGGAATAGATTTTGAGAGGCAGAAAGGTGGACATTTGAGGAAAAAAAGAAACCCACAAGGGAGCCTCAGCCTGTCAATGTGTTTAATGAGCTGAATTGATTTATGGCTTTGGCCTACATTCTGTTGGCTGCTCTCCATCAGATACCTTTGCTTACAGTCTTACACAACAATGCACTGATTGTCAATTGTGTCTCATAAGATGTGTTTATGTGTATTTCTTATTTCTATGATATATTATAAATGTATACAATATAGCAGATTTAGTGAGCTAATTTTAAGAGATGAGTTTAACATAGTCACCATTTAAAATAAGTGACATTATCTCATATTATTCAAAGATGGCAGCATAAACAATATCTACATGTATAAAAAACTGAGTGTGTAATAGTAACACTCATTTAAAGGATGATAGAATTTTGCTTCAAATTCTTTGGTTCATCTCATCTATGCAGATGAGACAAATGGAAAAACAGATCCATATATGACATATATGAAGAGGGCACATCCTGCATGTGAATAGAAATCACAACGGCTGCCATTAATACATTCAGCCATGTTGTTGTTGTTTTTTTGTACCGGAACAAAACAAGCCTCATCTCAGCCACCAACAAAATAAATCATTTGGTAGCAGAACAACCACAAGCCAACACACCGAGAGGTATAATACGCTAAATTACATAAACTAGCACACCAAGCACTGCACTGACCTTCAGAGAACTTAATATCCAAGCAATTCTCGATTATGAAATAAAGGAGGGAAGGAATACACTAACTGCTCATCTTTATAGTATTAAAATTGCCACATATTACCAGGCAACCAGGTTTGTCTGAAGTACTCAGATCCGGTGACTGCAGACAGCATCCTCCTTATTACTTAGAGCAGTCACTCATCTTTATAAAAATAAAAAAATAAAAGCTTCATCAGTCCTTCGGTGTGCATTAGAACTGATGAATAACATGAAATCTGTTGCTTTGATGGACGACCTAAAGAAGTAAAACTGACCCTGTCTGTGCAGGCAGTGGACTCGGATCAAAGCAAGAAGATGGACGTTAAGATTTTTCAACTTGAGACTAGTTTTAAGGCGTTTCAGTTGATGTAGATCTGACTACTGAACTCTCCTTTAATCAGCTGAATGTGAATTTCTATTGGTCGGATGGAGAGACAATTGAGTTGCCTGTAAAATATATTACTCCTCAGTCATTCATTACTATTATCCTTTCTGCCCTCTAGTGTCCATAAGGAAACATGGCTGCATCTCCACACGCGTAACTGGGATCGAATACTCTGCTTATCTTGTCTTATCAAGTACTTGTTTACTTTAACCGTTTACTTTAACTGTTTTGCTTGCTTTAACTGTACTCTGGCAAAACAATTTCCTTCGGGATGAATAAAGTTTATCTTTATCTTTATCTTTATCTTTATCTGTGCAACACCAGTGAGCTGTGCAGCAAGCTCGGCAACTTAGATGCTGTGTATATGAGTTTGTTAACAAAAAATAAAACTCTCTCATTTCTATTACTTCACAAAGACAAATTCCTTTTTAAATGTTTGTGCTAAACTGCACTACATCGTAATGAAAAAATAACATGTGCCTCACCTTTTATCTTTCTGTGAGGAAAGTCTGCCTTAAAAACAGTTTGACACACATTTCTTGTTTTGCTTTCAGTACAGTTTCAGTGATGTTATTCTTGCTTTTGTTGTGATTTAAAGCCAGCAGTTACACGACAGAAATGAAGACAGTCAAAAAACACTCCCTAAAAACATTCCCAAAAGCTGCAATCAACTCATCTACAAGAGGACAGACAAATATTCTCCTCTGACGTTAAAATGTGTTGATTAGCATCACGGATTCTTTTTATAGTTCTTTATACGTGTCCATGTGGGGAAGCAAGGTTCTGCGTCTCTGTGAGTGTGTTGCAAAGTACAGTAATAGTCACCAGAGTGAGCAAAAAAAAAAAAAAGGCAAATGATATCCACTTCCTCTCCTCCTCTCAGTACCTCCACCCACTCATTGCTCACAGACATGATATGAGGGGCTTAAAATATCCCACCCGTTTAAATAATTCATAAGCTCAAATGCTCTACAATCCCTCCCCTGGTCTCTTGTTTCTCCCTCGTCTGCGGTCCCTTTTGGTTTTGTATGTCTTCCTGCAGGTGTGCTTTTACAAGTTCAACCACAAGTTTTCTTTGTGTGTGTGTGTGTGTGTGTGTGTGTGTGTGAATTATTTTCTGTCTGGATCCGTTTTTCTGTACGATCACAATGTGAAAACAGATTTGCAGATGTGGTATCACACACAAACAAATTTTTTGCTCTATTGTTCTTCATACCTCTTAGTGTATCGATCAAATGTGCCTCAGAGCAGGGGTTACATAATGGGATGCTGATTGGAGAGCATTAGCAGCCAGCGGTTACTTTGCATTAGTAATTGTACCTCAGACTCAACTGTTCATTTGCTCCGTCCGTCTGGCTGGTCTCCTGCGTTGAAAGGTTCAACCCGGTAAAAATAGACCTCTTTATTTTATTCATATCAAGAATTATAGCTTCTTATGGTGACAGAGTAATCCAGACTTTTCACCTGCTTCATTGTTCACCTCTAATCAGATCCAAGCAGGGAAGACGAGGCTAGAAATCCCACCATTCAAGGATGGAACTTAACAAAGATATCACTAGGTACTGGGGTAAGAAGAAAAAATGTAATGAATAAGAAGGATTTTTATTATCCTGATAAGAAATAACAGTATTAGCAAACCTAGCTGACATAAAGCACCTCTCTCTTTGCCCTTATACCCTTTCCTCTCCAGCATTGTCTTTGCAGTTAGCTACTGTCTTTGACCCAGTTTCGTGACTGGGAAATGGGACCGTTTGTTAGTAACAGCTTTAAAATCTGATTAAAAAGAAGAAAGTGCGAGTGAGCTGAGAAGAGCAGGAGACCCGGCCTGTTGAGACATGCACTCTAGGCTTCCTGGAAGAAGATGGAGCTACTCCAAAGTATGGACTGCGACCGTTCAAACACATATAAACAGTCAGGAACATGCAGACTTGTGGTGGCTGTTTAGCCTGGATGTCAGTGAGAAAACGGTCAATAAACTGATCGATAAATAAGGAAGACATGCTCAAATTGCAGATGAGGCTAAATTAATAGAGGATTTAGTCTAAATATTTATCAGTCAGCAGCAGTTGAGGATAAACTATACGTAACACTGGAAATAGATAAAAGATATTTTAGTTTACTGAGTGGTACAAGCAATAAAAAGATAAGTATGAAACCTGCTCTCCTCATTTCAGATT